TATTGAATTATCAGAACCTGATGTAATTAATAAAGGCTGCCCATTAAGAAATTTTATTGAAGGTATTAATCCATCATGTGCACCTTTCATTACATGTGACAATCTTTTATTATCAAGATCCCATAAGAAAATATCACCACACATATTTGCAGTAGCCATGAAATGTTGATAGTCTTTTAAGTTCAATAACAAAATTTTTGTTAACATATAATGTCTAACAACTAAATACAAAAGAAAAGCCTTCGATTCACCTGTTCTAAATGAAATTGCAGTAACTTGCTCTTCTTGTTTAAAAGATATTATCAATTCATCAGCTCTTATATTATATAATTTTATCATTCCATTAAGCAAACCAACAGCAATAACATCAACAACTGGTGATTGAATTAGATATGTGATTGGTGATTCAAATGAAGCAAATGAATAAACTAACTTACTATCAGGAAAATTTAAGAATTAATCAAGATAGAAAATGTCAATTTTCATTTCAATTTCTTTTTTTTTTAAAAAAATCAATTATATATTAAAATCATATACTTTTTATGAATGTTCCAAATTTGCATTGTTCCTTGTTTACTGCCAAGTAATATTTTATTTAAATAAGTACTGGGATGAATAAGTGTTGATATAACAAAATTTTCATCAAATTGAATTACAGATTCCAATTCTAAAAATTTATATGTAGACAATTAATTTCAAAAAATAAATTAAATATAAATATCATTACTAATTTACCTCCAGACTCATGATCATATAAAGTTACAGAATTATCATCACTTAATGCAATAAGGTGAATTCCTAGCAAAGTCAATGAAAATATAGTTCCTTTGCATTTTTTTTTGAATTGCATACTCTAAAAGATCGTAAATTAGGTTGATTTTGATATTTGAGATAAATTAATTTTCAATAGTAAATTAAGTGACTTACTACTTTTCCACGATTAAACATTATTATATCTTGTGAACAAGCTACAAATGTGTTTTCTTTGAAAGAAGCCAATGCTGTAATTGGTTTCTCTGTTAATGAGCCTAATAAAGAGTATATTATTATTACTTAAACATTAAAGTAAAAAGTGGTATTATATGAATTTCTTCTTACCAACAATTTTTAATGTGAGTTTTGAACACTTATTTTCAAAGAAAATAACATTGAGCTGGTTAATAATAATCAATAGTGAAAAAAAATTACAATTTATAAATATAAAAAAATTTTAACATACATCATATACATGAAAACTATTTCCAACACATGCAGTTAAGAAATAAGCATGTCCCAATGCTTGGAGATCAAAAGGTATATCATTAGTAACATACCCTATAGCACGAAAAGGTTGAAAAATTCGGTTACAATATTGAGCTTTCGGATTATCACTGTTTAATTCTTTAGTTTTTCTTTTCTTAATCATCTTTATCATAAAATATTTGCCAAAAAAAAATTAGATTTTGATGATGATTTGCCGCGTCACGATCTCCTTCCAAAACTCGTAAGTCGTGCGACTTTCGTGCAGGTTTTTTGCCGATTGTCTCTTTTTACGTCTAGCTGTGCCTGGTTTTTTCGGTTTTTGACACGATCAACGTTTCACCATATTTAGCAAAAAATTTGTTGTTCGGCAAATGTTTATAATAAAATATTGCTTTGCAACTTTGCAATGCTTTGAATTGAATTGCAAAGCGAAGCGATGAAAGCAATTGCAACCAATGATCAGGAAAAATCTTTGTTTTTCAAATCTAATTTTTTTAGGAAAGAAATTTTTGCTTTCTTTTTTTTTTATTTTCTGAAAAAAATTGATTGCGAAAAAAAAAATTACAAATATCGGGCGGGGTTGTGAAAGTAAAAAATAATAAAAATTATTCAGCGTCACAATTCTCATCACCTTTGTCATTCATTATTATCATCATCGTTGATGATCAATGTAAATACCTTTTTTCCACGTGATAAACATTTGGTACAGTGCGTAACATCATAAGCCATCAAATTACTGCGCCCATGTATCAAATTCAAGAAATTTTTTTAATTATTTTCATTACAAAAATACAGTTAAAAAAATAAATCACGTGATAAAGGATTTTTACTCATTATTTCTATCAATTTCTTCCATAATATTATCAGGTATTCTTCTATGTGATTTATATCTTTTCAAAGCATATTCTGCTTGTAAAACTGTTAAGCCTTTCCTATAACATTCCATATACTTCACTGATCTTAATGCATATTTTCTTATTTGTTTCAATGATATAGAATCAAAGGCCCTTGGTATATTTTCTTGTAAACCTTTCCAGGTATAATCGCAATGTTGTCTTACATACCTTTTGGCAGCACCCCAATACATTTCTATATAATTCAATTCACAGTGGAATTTTGGATAAAACACCACTTTGTGACCTTTTGCTTCGATTATTTCCTGAAGCAGGGGTTTTTGATTTTTGAAGTCAACCTGGGAAGCTAAAATATGTCTGGCACAACATGTTAAGTTCTCTTCAAGAGAAACATTACTATTCTTACAATATGCTTTTAGATTTAACCTCCATAATCCTCTTTCCTGCAGAATTACCTTTGGTTTACCACATAACTTTTCATCTGGATAATCATTTGGGAATACCATTTCTTGAACTTTTCCATCAAAAATTGTATCTCTCATAACAGGTTGTTCTCCACCTGGCTTAAGATTCATTGTGAATGCATTTAATGCATCTTCTGCCCTTTTTGTATGACTTGATGAATGATCAAATGCAAATACAGCAATCATTCCTGGATGTGTCAATTCAAAAATAGGAATAGCACAATTGACAACCTAAATATATAAAAAAGTGGCCAACAAATATTAAATAGAATATTTTTTATCATTATGGATTTTTTAAAATTGTTTACCTGATCTATTAATTGCTCAAGATTCCACCACCCATCTTGATTTTTTCCAGGACATATTTTTACTTGAGCATCTTTAGGAAAATTCTCATTGACATTTGATATTTGTTCATCTAACAATCTCAACCGTCCAATTGTTTCAGTCAAGAAATCACTAATATGAATAGTTCTTCCTTGACCTTTCTTATGTAGAGGCTGTTCATTTATTGGTCTCCACCCTGATTTTTTACCATCATTTGATTGAAGAGTTGTTTCATCTTGCATAACTAACACATGTATTTTCTCACCTTCTTTTAGTTCAGGATTAATCTGCAATTCAAAATCATCACCAATGAATTTAGGCATAAATTTTTGATACCTAATATTTTGTAAATGATGATTATATGTTAATATATTTGTATGTTTGATAAAGACAAATGAATAATTAAATATACTTTTCCATCACATTCAAGAATTCTTTACGGTATTGACCACATCATCATGCTCATGGCCATCAATAAAGATGCCTTTTGAATACTTTGAGAAAATGAAGCCCATATTTTTTAACCATCTATTTGCTGTCATTGAACTTTTAAAATTTTTAATAGTTAATATTTAACATATATAATAAACAATTTTTAAGAACCATTCATTACCTTATCTTTGTTTTATTTTCAATTCCAATATATGGAAGAATCTCATCAGATACATAGTCACGAAATTTTGATATTGTTATATCAAATTTATTTTCTCTTAAATAAGAATTGATTTTTAATTTAACATCTTCATCTTCCAATATACTGGTTCCAACTAGGTGTTCACCACGTCTACATTTTGGAATATCACCATATTCTATAAAAGCTTTTGACCAGCTTCTTACACATCTTGCAAACCACTTACCTTTACCCATCAAATCTGAAACAACTTCACTGGCTTTAATCTTAGCATATCCTTTTTTTCTTAGTTGTAAAAAATGCTGAACAGCCTTAAGTCTGATTTTATGATTTGGAGTTAAATTTTCTGAAGTTAATTTTGACTCTATTTTATTAATCATTAAAGTAAAGTTATCTATTTCTTCATCATCATCATCATTCTTGGGCAAAAAGAATTGATCTAATGTCTGTCCATTTCTTTGGGCATCAGTTTTGGCTTTATTTTTTCTTCTGTATATTGTCATTCTTGAATTCCCTGTATACTTTGAAGGTCTATTAGATGAAATTAAATTTTCAATGTTTTTTGATAAAATGTCATAGATTGTGTCAGCATTTTTATTTATTTCACTGTCAAACCACAAAAAACCTTCATCTTCAACATTTGCAAATTCCTCTCCATATTCATTTCCTACATCCTCAGTATCTTCAAAGAAAATATGACTTTCTTCAATTTCATCATCTGCAGATTCTTCTTCAACATTTGTATTTTCCTCTGCATTTTCAAAGGTTTCAAGAACTGTAGAGCTTTCTTCATTTTCCTCTGCACTTTCAAAAATTTCAAGGACTGTAGAATCTTCTTCATTATCTTTTTTTTTCTTTTTTGCTGCTGCTAATTCTTTGCACATCCTAATTTTTCTTTTAGGTTTTGGCATTTTATTTCACAAAATAATTAAAAAGAATTGCACTGAATTAGAACGCGTTTCTCATTAATTTTGTGTAACACGTGATTTTACCAAAATTAGAAAATTTAGGAATGCGCAGAATAATTCGGGCCAAAACTATATGTATCAAATTTGGAAAATTTTATATGTAACATATAAAAATCACATGATTTTTAAAAGCTTAAGGCTCCTGAACCAAGCAATTTTTTTTTATTGTCTCAACGATAGATTGTAGAGCTGGTCAAAAGCTATAAAATATCGTCTTTATTTTTTTGAGATAACCATTCAGTATTCCCTTTTTAGGAATTATTTTTGTAAATATTTTTAATTTGCAAATATTGGATCATTTTCTTCTATTATTTATTTTCAATCTTCTCATTGTTTTTGTTAATGATTGGTAGAGATCTTCTTTAGTACTAACTAAAATATTTCTTGCCTGGTTAAAATTTTCTTGATTTGAAGATCCTGCTAACTTCATATCTTCAATACTAAGATAATAACAATTTGTTTAATAAGTGTATATTTGTTATGAGAATAGTCTCCTAAAACAAACAAATAAATTTTAAATTTTCCTTACAATTGATTCGCTTGTTGTTGTTGTAAACTAATATTAGTATGATAAACAGTAGTAGGTATTAAAAGTAGAGTGTCAATAGTAGTAGCAATAAAATATTATTAATAATGAGATAAACAAAATTTATCTTAACTTAATTGCCTACCTTTCTTGATAGTGTAGGAGCTACTTCTCGATAATCATCACTTAATCCAAGTATTGATCTACTCCACTTTTCTACAAGTTGAGTAGCTAATTGTCTTATAGTTTCTGGACAACGTTTTGTCAATGTATAAAATAAACAAATCTTCCAATTTTACTTGCGAATAAATATTCAGTTGTAATAGGGTGCTTTTAATTAAATTTTTTGGTTTAAAAAAAGAATATTTTTTTACTAAACAAATTAATTATAATAAAAAAAACCAAGATTATACATACTTTACAAGCAGACTCAACATTTCAATTATTAATGTGATACTTGGTAGTGACCTACCAGGTAAAGGTTCCAGCAAATGCTTAATTGCAACCAAGATATTGCATTCAAGTAGTGCTTCTGCAAGGTATGTTTTGGATAATTGTGCCACTGCATCTTCCAAAAGGTCTGGTTTTTTAATACATGGTTGTTTACTTGCAATTCCTTTGACATCATTGTCATCAGCTTGGAACATAACTTTATATAGATTGGCAGCTTCATAATCATTCAACACATCCAAATTGATATATTTTTCTTTTGATTTTTTGCTGCTTTGTCTCTTTGGAAGAAATTCTGCAAAATCTTGATCAACAATCTTTCTCGACTCTAGCAAAAGCACCAATTCGTGATTTTTGGGTATAACCTCTTCATTTTCATTGATTTTATCAATATCATGATCTTTTAATTGAGTTTTTCCTTTTTGTTCAGTTTTTTTCGTCGTACAGATCTTGTTGTCCACTACTACTAATGCTAGCATTACTTTCAGCAGGTATTTTTGTTTTTTCTTGCTTTTCATCAGGTTGCTTTTATCAAAATAATCATTATCTGAACCATCTAAAACATCAGAGCCAAATTCTGAATAACTATCCATAACATCTGAAAGCTCTTCACCGTCGTCTCCGAATATATCTACTTCATTTTATCTAGATTTATTTAAAGTTACTGATCTCAAGGTTTTGCTAGGATGTGTAAATGATGGAATTGGCATTTTTCTTAATATTTTTTGTTTAAATATTCAGTAATGATTAAAAAAAGAGGGAACATCGTGAAAAGTAGACATATTTGGTATTCAATTCATAGACTTTTATTTTATTGAACAATGATCGTCCAATATGTAAATTGTCTCTCTATACATTCCAAGTAGGACCTCGGATAATTATATTTGAACTGGTATCATTAAAATGAGTAGAAATTGGCTTTTTTTGAGAAACTGGTATGTAAAAACAGGGTAAAGCTAAAACAACTGGTGTGTAAAAATGGATATTGTAAAAATAAGTAAACATATCGATCCCGTGGAAACATGGACGACTGGTGAAACATAGTAATAGTAATAGTAATCTTTTATCCATCGTTTTTTTTTTTTTTTTTTTTGACTAATAAATCTATAAATAAATCTCTATCTATTATTTCAAAAATAATTATTCAAATTATTAAATATTTTCTCTTATATACCCTTACTAGTTAATATATCTTTTTTTTTCAAAAAAAAAAAAGTCAAAATTATCGACAAGCTGGTATTTCTTACGAGCCACTCTAGTTTATCTATAAATAAAATGTCAAATAGAAAGAAAAGAGAAAAGGAAGAGGCAGCTCAAAACAAGTGTGACTAAGTATTGATTGTTTTGAGAGCCACTCCACCTGTGTAGCAGACACGTAAAACTTGATAAAGGTTTCTTTATTCATATTTTTTTATTCACGTTCTATTCTATTATTTCAATCCAATTTCTAATAATCACACTTCATTAATTTAAGGTATTATTAATATATTGAAACAATTGTCTGACCCAGATTAGAAGTTGGCACTACAAAAATTTTTTAATTGGCAAAAATTAAGAGTTAACCGGTTAACTGGTTAATTTTAAATTTAGTAGTATTAATATTAAAATGATTAATATTAAGTGATAGTAATAGTACATGCACTATCCAATCTAATTAAAAAATCTTTCTTTATAGTTTTACTTCTCCCTTGTAGTGATTATAATAATAGTATATAGTAGCAGAACTAAAATTTTCTTTTTTTCTTTAATCAATGGTTGTAGTAATTGGTTTTTCCCCCTTTGTAGTGATAGTAATTTATTTACTTTTTCTACTAGCAAATAGTCCATAATAAACAATCAATAACGTGACATGTATGTATGTTTCATGATTGTTTTTCCTAAAAAATGAAAAAAGTCAAAATTATTCAAGATTAAAAAAAAACCTTGGATGAATATTCAATTAAATAAAAAATAAAATTTTTGGTAAATGTCCAACGTGTAATAGATATAATACTAATACTAATTTCTTATAATGTGAATCTTGTAATCCACAGTTATTAACTGAATGATGGACTATTAATAATGAAACAATAGATGAAATAATTAAAAGTACACAATGTAAAGTAATAGAATATGATAATTTAGTTTATCTCCAACGGATTCCTTATAATGATATAAAAAATATTGGTAAAGGTAAATTTGCAACCATATATAAAGCTACATGGATGAAAGGTTGGAAATATACAAAAAATGTTGTAAAGGTAGAATTGTTGCATTAAAAAAATTGCACATTTCAAATAATATTAAGTTTTCTTTATAAACACTATTAATTATTATTGTTAAATTAAATTAACACATGATTGTGATGCCCAATACCTAGCAGATGGAAGCCTTCAAGATTATTTATCAAAACAATTTAAAAATTTGGAATGGAAAAATAAGATAGAAATTCTTCATGGTATTATTCATTGTTTTAGAGCAGAGGTATCATTCATCATAATTTTCATAGTGATAATATTCTACAAAGTGGTATATTAATATAGTATTTATTCGATTTGGGATTATCAATTCCAGTCTATCAAACAAACTTGATACAATTGGGGTATTAATGTCAGTAATTTCAACAGGACTCAATCATTCAATAATATTGTACACGACTTAAACCTTGCAATAAAAATATGTGAACAAGACCTGCATTCTCAAATAATACTCCAAAATTTTGCATTGAATTAGCATATAGATAAATTTCCAACAGCTAAAGGAATTAAAGATACTATTGAGTTTTGGCTTGATTAATTTAGTGGTTTTTTAATAATTTTAGGCATTATGAATACCACTTTAACCTTGTTTTTAATTAATTTGAAAAGAATTTGATGAAATTGATAAGATTAAGTCTTATCCTTCAAACAATTACTGCAACTGTTCATCCAAATGCTATTTATACAAGCAGAATGTTAAATTTTACAAAACTTCCACAGCTTGGAAGCTCCAATAAATCCACAATAATTGGAAATAATAATAGTAATTGTCTAATATAAGTAAGGTTCACTTAATTAACTGTCAATTATTACTAATCTACAGTACCTGGAAGAAAGTATCCGAACGCAGTTTTTCGAAAATTCCGCAAAATATTACATAATAAAAAAATAAATAAAAAATGTCATTTTGTAGCTTAGGTTCTTATGGTTATGCATATGAAATTTAAAGTTTTTTTTATTATCTAGAACTTTTTTAATTTTAAAAAAGCAAAATCTGATTAAATTTGTAAAATTTTACAGTATTTTCGTGAAATAACCAAATTTCACATAATAAAAATTCATTAAATTATATCAAATGAAAGCTATGGTATTGAACATTAAACATGTAAAATTTCATGAATCCAAAACGTATGGAAAATTATAATTAAAAAATCGAAAACATGATTAAAATTGCGATCATCAAATTTTTGTTATTAAAATTTTAAAAATGAAAAAAACCACTGAATTGACTGAACTTGAACGTGGAAAAGTTTTGGGTCTTCGATTAGGCGGAAATAGTATGTCAGTAATATCTAAGAAACTGAAAATTCCAAAGACCACTGTATATGATACTATTAAACGTCATATGAATTCTGAAAACGTAAAAAGTGCACCAAGAAGTGGAAGGCCCAAAGCTTTGAATGAAGATGATCAGAAAAAATTAAAAGATATTGTAATTAATAATAATCGTAATTCTGCTGAATTAATACAGAGAGAATTCACTAAAGAAAGTGGTAAAAAGGTTTCTACAAAAACAATTCGTAAAAATCTTCATGAGCTTAAAATTTACTCACGAATCGCTGCAGTAAAACCACTTTTGTCAGAGAAACAAAGAGTGAGACGACTAAAATGGTGTAATCAAAGAAAACATTGGACTACTCCAAACTGGAAAACTGTGATTTGGAGCGATGAATCACGTTTTACAATATTTAAAAATGATGGTCCAGGTCGTGTTTGGCGAAAGGATGGTCATCGTTATGACATCGAGAACCTTGTTCCATCAGTGAAGCATGGTGGTGGTGGAATAATGGTTTGGGGTTGCTTCTCTGGTAAAGGGTTGGGTCCTTTAGTTAAGGTGGATGGAAAAATGAATAGTTGGGATTATATTGATATTTTGGAGAAAAATCTGTTGCCTTTGGTTGGAAATAAATTCAATAATAGAAATTACTCCTTTCAAGATGACAACGCGCCTGTGCATACTGCCAAAGCTGTTCAAGATTGGATTAAAGAAAATAGAATTAAAATTTTAGAAGATTGGCCCTCTCAATCACCCGATCTTAACCCCATAGAACATCTTTGGCATGAACTTGAAACAAGATTAAGAAAACGAACGATTCATCCAAAAAATGTTTCAGAATTGGAGGAGGCTCTGAAAGAGGAATGGTCGAAAATTCCATACGAAAGATTAGGAAAACTTATTGAAAGCATGCCAAAAAGAATTGAGGCATGCATTTCTAGCAATGGTTGGCCAACAAAATATTGATTGTTCATTTCAAAACTTATTTCAATTTTGCTGATCATTACAAATATAATTTTTTTAATTAAATTTCGTTTTTTTAAAATTAAAAAAGTTCTAGATAATAAAAAAAACTTTAAATTTCATATGCATAACCGTAAGAACCTAAGCTACAAAATGACATTTTTTATTTATTTTTTTATTATGTAATATTTTGCGGAATTTTCGAAAAACTGCATTCGGATACTTTCTTCCAGGTACTGTACATCAAATTTTAATATTTGGATACTTAGGATATCTGTCATGTTAGATATTTTGATTTTATTGTTTATTATCAAAGTATTTATGCCAAAAAAAAGTGCATAAAAATTTTTTAAATCAAGAAAAAATGTATATAAAAAAAACACTTAGAAAATTGTGTCAAAAAATTTCATATTTCTTTTCAAGAAAAGCATTTTTTCAAACAAAGATGGCTTTAAAGAAGTTCTTTTTGCAGTCATTAAATTTCCTGCATCAGAGAACACACGTTCACTTGATGTTGATGCAGCAGGAATCGACAGATATTTTTTTGCCAACTCAATTAGAATTGGAAATTCGTTCTTATGTCCTAACCACCAATTGAATGGATTTTCTCTATAGTCAATCTCTTGTAATTCTAAATATTTATCAAATTCATTATTGCTAGTATTATTATTTGAAAATATACTTGTTAATAAACTTCTTTTGTATGGTTTAGATGTAAGATTTCTTTCTGTATTTTGTGAATTATTTTGTAATGAATTGTTTAAATTTTTTAAATAGTTGAATTCTTTTCTCAAGTTGGTGATGATAACATTAGACTTTCTTTCTTGAGATAAAAATCTAAGACACTTGCTTCTTGGATCTAATAAAGATGCAATTAATGCATCTTGGATTGGTTTTTCATAATAATAAATTAAAGCAAAATATAGACGCTCTTTTATCAAATCAGCCAGACCTTCTGTTTGTGTTGGATTACTAAAGGAAATTTTTTTTTCTTTTGAGGAGCTCAGGTGTATCGTCATTAAAAATCTCATAATATAATTGATGATCTTCTATTTCTTCAAAAAAAACTTCACTTGCTTTATGAAATACATCTGATTCCTCTTCCACATTAAAATCATCATCATTATTTTGATCTGAAGTCAATTGATTAATTAAAGCCATTAATGTTGGATATATTAAACTAAATGTTGAATATTTGCTTCCACCCAAAAGATCTGTTGCTTCAGCAAAAGGACCAAGAATCTGAACTAAGTCACTCATAAGCAACCATTCATCATCAGTCAAAAAAACACTTTTTAATCTTTTATAATCTGATTTGGAATTTGGATCATCAATTTCTAATGGTATTGTTGTAATTAGAGTTTTGATATATTCTTGCAACATTAATAATCTTTCCCATGCAAGAAAAGATGAATTCCATCGTGTGCAAACATCACAATGGCTTTTAAATACTTGTGATTGTTACCAATTATGTTCTAATTAAACCAATAAAATAAGAATTTTTTGTTGTAATCATATATGAACAATCAACATATAAATATAATAAAATTACCTCATTTGAAATTTTATAATTTTCTTTTTGTATTTTTTCTAATCTTTCAGATTGTTTAGATGATATAAAAAAATTTATCAGCTTTTTAACTCTTCCAATGAATATTTTCATTTGATTAACATTCAATCCTTTTCCTATTACCAGTTGTATTGTATGAGCTGAACAACGAATATGATTAATGCCATTCAAATAATCAATTGCTTTCACCATATTTTTGGCATTATCTGTTGTTATGGCAACAACTTTATTTACAAGATTCCATTTACGAAGTTGAAATTCAATTGCTGAGGAAATTGTAAGATATGTATGTGGATGTTCAAGATTTGATATGGTAATTAAATGTTCATTTAGTTTAAAATTTCATCAACCCAAAAACAAGTTATTGCAATATATGACTGTTGACTACGAGATGTCCACAAATCTGTTGTTAATGATACATAATTTACTGCAGCTAATTTATCTTGAAATTTGATGGTTATATTTGAGTAAGCATTATGGATAAGTGGCTTTATAGCTTTTACTGATGGAATTTGGAATAATGGATCAAGGTTATTAATAAAATTTCTAAAAGTAGCACTCTGAAGAATATAAAAAGGTTGGTTATCTCCAATAATAAATTCAGCTAACAATTTAACAAGTTTATCTTGTTTGATTCCAGAGTGTTTTTTAACTTGACTAAACAAATTAGGCAATGTTAATTGAGATTTTTGCTAAATATAAATATTGATATTAATATGGATCAATGTGGTTTTTTATCTTAATAATGTTAATTATAAGAAATATACCTTGGTTGAAAAATTGTTTTTTTCTTTATAGTTTTCTTTGGTAATTCCATGAACATTAGATAAATGATTAATCGAATTCCCAGTTGATCCATTTATTATTTTCACATGATGCTTACAAACTTCACCCAAATCATTAGGAATTTGGCACATGGCCCAAATAGTATTCTCATCTTGAACACAATCAAAAAATAGCCACGTCCAACTCCTAGCAGAATTATTCTTGTTTTCAAAAATCCTTCAACATCATTATTATTACCTGTAGAACTTAAAAATATAAGTTAATTATCAATGTATTGGCTGTTAATGCTGCTGTTAACAGTTATAATTATATTAATTAGTTACCTAATTTCACTAATACTATCATTAGTGTTAGATGTTGAATTATTAGATTCTAAAACTATATCTTTAATATTTTCTTGTTCGAAATTATCATCAGAATCAAACAAGTCTATAATATTATTTTTTAACATTATTGTAATTATTTATTTACAAAAATTATTTATACAAAAAAAAAACTCATAGTACAAACAAATAAAATTCAGATATCTGAATCTTATCTGATTTATCTGAAATCAGATCCGAAATTTGATCTGAAATAAATTTTGTTTATCTGAAATCTGACAAATATCTCCAGATATCTCCAGATATCTGAAAAATCAGTTATACAGATTAGTATTAGTGTTTGAATCCGAATCTCAAATGAGACTCATTAAGAGGGTTACACATTATCAAGATCATGTGGTGACACATAATTTTAATCTACTTTGATAGTGTGTAACCCTCATAGGCAGAAGTTTGTCTGATTGGCTAATTTTGCCGATCAATTTCAATTGAGTTCGCATATTATTTATATAGT